TGTTGTGGGTATTGACTGCCAGGCTTCAAAATCCCTTATAACTCCCCAACTTTGGTGCCAACTTGGACAACATTATTTTATGCACTCCTTTTTAGTTATCCCCACCTGCCCAGTTCCCTTATAAGGCTGAGACATTTTAACCAAATTACCTGCTTCCCTGACTATTCCTAGACTACAGCCACATCTCATTGCCACCCTTCTTCCCAACCCAAAGCCTCCTTCGTGTCTTCCTCTTGTATCCCCCAACTTTAGCCCACAGACATGGGACACCTCTACTCCCTCCCTGACAATCAATCACACGCCCATTACTATCCCATTAAAACCTAATCACCTTTACCCCACTCAATGCCAGTATCCCGTCCCACAACAGGCTTTAAGAGGATTGAAGCCTATTATCACTCACCTGCTACAGCATGGGCTTCTAAAGCCTACAAACTCTCCTTACAATTCTCTCATCTTACCTGTCCAAAAACTGGACAAGTCTTACAGGTTGGTTCAGGATCTGTGCCTTATCAACCAAATTGTTTTGCCTGTCCACCCTGTGGTGCCCAACCCGTACACTCTTTTGTTCTCAATACCTCCCTCCACAACTCACTATTCTGTTCTTGATCTTTTTTTTTTTTTTTTTTTTTGAGACGGAGCCTTGCTCTGTCACCTAGGCTGGAGTGCAGTGGTGCAATCTTGGTTCACTGCAACCTCTGACTCCCAGGTTCAAGCAATTCTCTGCCTCAGTCTCCCGAGTAGCTGGGATTACAGGTGCCTGCCACCATGCCTGGCTAATTTTTTGTATTTTTAGTAGACACGGGGTTTCAGCATCTTGGCCAGGCTGGTGTTGAACTCCTGACCTCATGATCCACCCACCTTGGCCTCCCAAAGTGCTGGGATTAAAGGTGTGAGCCACCACGCCCGGCCCGTTCTTGATTTTAAAGACACTTTTTTCACTATTCCCCTGCATCCCTCATCCCAGCCTCTGTTTGCTTTTACCTGGACTGACCCTGACACTCATCAGTCCCAGCAGCTTACCTGGGCTGTATTGCCACAAGGCTTCTGGGATAGCTCTCGTTACTTCAGCCAAGCTCTTTCTCATGATTTACTTTCTTTCCACCTCTCTGCTTCCCACCTTATTCAATACCTTGATGACCTTCTATTCTGTAGTCCTTCCTTTGAGTCTTCTTAACAAGATACCCTTCTGCTCCTTCAACATTTATTCTCCAAAGGATATCTGGTATCCCCCTCTAAAGCTCAAATTTCTTCCCCATCCGTTACCTACCTTGGCATAATTCTTCGTGAAAACCCGTGCTCTCCCTGCTGATCATATCCTGCTGATTTCTCAATCCCCAACCCCTTTTACAAAACAACAACTCCTTTCCTTCCTGGGCATGGTTGGATACTTTCGCCTTTGGATACCTGGTTTTGCCATCCTAACAAAACCATTATACGTACTCACAAAGGGAAACCCAGCTGACCCCACAGATCCTAAATCCTTTCCCCACTCCTCTTTTCCTTCCTTGAAGAAACTTCTAGAGACTGATCCCATACTAGTTCTCCCTGACTCATGTCAACCCTTTTCATTACACACAGCTGAAGTTCTGGGCTGTGCAGGCAGAATACTTACACATGGACCGGGACCGTGCCCTGCAGCCTTTCTGTCCAAACAACTTGACATTACTGTTTTAGGCGGCCATCATGTCTCAGTGTGGTGTCTGCCACTGCCCTGTAGTTTTAGAGGCCCTCAAAATCACAAACTATGCTCAACTCACCCTCTACAGTTCTCATAACTTCCAAAATCTATTTTCTTCCTCACACCGACACATATACTTTCTGTTCCCCAGCTCCTTCAGCTATACTCACTCTTTGTTGAGTCTTCCACAGTTACCATTGTTCCTGGTCCAGACTTCATTCCAGCCTCCCACACTATTCCGGACCTGACCTCCACATCTGACCTCCATGACTGTATCTCTCTGTGATCCACCTGACATTCACTCCATGCCAGCCGCCAAGTGATCCAGGGCTTGCTTTCCAGGTCCCCAGTTGTAGCAGGCGCCAGCCCGGCGTTCCTTCTATGCCTCCACCTCTGCTCCTGCTGTCCCCCTGGTGCGGGCAGGTGAGTTCAGGAATGGAGCCTAAACAGGGCGGGGGCCAAATCTGGGGGGCTGTAGACTGCGGGCTTCAGAAGAGGGGAGGCTTCTGGAAGAATCGGCACATCTCCCCGAACTGCACCCCCGCTCAGTTCCTCTCTGCAGCTCCTTCCCGACAGATCCACTCTCCCAGCCTGCTTCTCCCACCAGGGGAGGAGTTGGGCAGAGAGGAGGCTGGAAAGGAACCTCGGGAGGGTGGAGGGGCCAGGGGGCTGCAAGAGGGCGAAATGGGTTGGGGATCCCTAGTGCAGCCCAGCAGTCCCAATCACCCTCGGGAAGGAGAAGCCAGAGCCCCTGGAACCTGAGTTGGGGTCAGGACGGGGATGAAGGGGGGGTTCCCAGGGACACAATCACGGATAGCCCCACCAGCCACAGACCTGCTCTGCTCTCACCCGCTCTCCACCACACAAACCCTCCAGCACCCCCAGGGCTGCCTGCCCTGGAATTTTTCCATGCACTTTCCTGCAGACACTCACCTGAACCCAGGAGTTCAGCAGACATCCCTCACCCCTCCCGTCACCATCCACTGACACCACCCAGGTCACATGCTCTTACTCCCCACCTCAGCCCAGCTGGTCACCCCAGAGATCTCCCCATCCATGAAGGGACCCTCACCACCTCCTACACCATGCAGCAACTTCTGCCTCTTGCCTGAGGACACACCCCAGCAAACACACCCCAAGCTCCACACAGAACCTGTGCAGGGGGGGATGGGAATCACCATTCCCTCCAGGAGACCCTGGGAACTCTGGTGAGTAGAGGCGCCCACTTCTGTCCTTGGGGCCCAGACCCGCCTGTTCTTCCTACTGGGGAGTCAGCGTCATAGAGAATAGTCACTGTGTAGACACGGGTCAGCAAACCCTTTCTAGAAAGGGAGGAAGGATGCCCTGTGATCTTTGCAGGCCTTGGATTCTCCGTCTCTGCGTCAAGTCCTGTAACTTTGTAGAGCAACAGCAGGCAATGGCAACCTGCAAATGAGGGGGACCAGATTCAGACCCTGTCCTAGGTTGCTGACCCCAAATGAGGGGATTACAGTGTCCCAGTGAATAGTGCTCCATCCCCTATGGTGTCATCTCCAAGTGGTGTCTCAGGTATCAGTTGGAGAGTAGAAAGTGGTCCAACCTTGCCTGTGGTTTCTAGGTGGTATGGATGTGATGGGAGTGGGAGTCCCATGGTTCGGGGCCTACTCTCCCCTCCTTTGATGCTCCTATGTTCCATGGGGGCCATCAGGGACTTTCCCTGAAGCCTTCCCTGAAGCTGAGGGTGAGAGGGTGCAGCCATGTGGTGTCCTGGGGATTGGGGTCAACTGCTTGTGCAGCTTCTTGGTTCCCTGTGGCCCTGCTCCTGCCCATCCCAGGAGAACAACCTGTGTCTTCTCACTGCTGGGCCTACCTTCCTAATGACCTAGAGGGTGAGAACCATACCCGTAATGGGCAGCTCTGAGGCTGCATGGTCACCGCCCTTCCATGGCTAAAGGCCCCATCTCTGCCAAGGCACAGTACTCTACAGGAGTCATTTTTTAATGTTGAGATTTCCTTGATGTGAGTGGCGTTGCCTTGCCTCTGAACATTCACATGGAATCTATATTGCGATTTTCCAATTAGACATTGTAACCACATGTACCTCTAGGATATTCGGGGGTCTTGGGTCATTGGGCACTTAAGGCATTAATCCCTTAATCCCTCATCATCCATGGATTGTTTATGGCTGCTTTTGAGCTACACCAGCAGAGTTGAGTAGTCACAAAGGAGAACGTATTCCCTGCACACCTTTATATATTTACAAAATTGCCCGTCACAGCAAACTCTAGTGGACATAAATATCTTTGGAGTAAGCCACAAAGAATATTTGCTCTTACTGTGGGGTTAAAGGGTCCTTCCTCACTGGAAACTGGTGTCTTCTTGTAGTCATGGGTTCAGGGTATGAGAGGTGACTTAATTATGTAAATTGGGCAAAGCAGCCTTGTTCTTGATGGATTGGCTACTTTCAGCCTCCTGGTCATCCATCATTTGTTTTATCTGTGTTTGTTGTAATTACTTAAATCCAGCAGTATCCGGGTTGGGTTTCCATCTTTTTGGGATCTTGAGCTCCTTTGTTCTATGAGCCATGGGCAAAGCTTTGTATGGCTGAGGTCACCAGCTGGCATTGTGACTTCTCTAATCATTTCCATCACTGAACCCTGCTTGTTCCTGACAGTTGATAGCCTCCACCTGGAATCTGTTATTTAAGGATTTTTCATCCCATTACTACTGGGAGTTCGTTTTAGGAACAGCATCTCCTACCCCCAACCCTGGCCTTCTGCAGTAGGCATCCCTGAGCTTCATCCCATTCTGGTGCCTTCTCATGGGGCCTTCTTTATACGCCGGGTAAACGGGAGTCCTCCAGGCTTCCCATGAGCACAGTGGATGGAAATTGTTCTGGATTTTCACACTCAGACCCCTCTGTCATGGGCTCTTCTCTGAGCCTGTGAGCTCCCTCTACTATCTGCTTTAGATTTTCAAATTTTCTATTTATTGCTGTGTGGACCATCTCTTTGTCCAAGGCATCCTCATTTCAGGAAGGCATCCTCATAGCAGATGAGCACTTCACCAGGGGCTTTGCCAACATGTTAAATTCTGTGACAATGAAAATTAACTCTTCTTTATCTAATTAACCCTAGTTAGTTAGATTTTCCATCCTCAGTCCATCCCACCATGCACCAGCATCCTCAGGGGCAGCCCCCACACCCTCTCCCACCTCCCGCAGCCCACTTGGGCTGCTGCTGAAGATCCTTTGCCATCCAGACCCTTCCTCCTCTAGCAGGCCTGGCACCTCTCTAGCAAGGTCATGTGTTGACTGATGTGGACAGAGGGGCAGTGGGACATGTCTGGGAACATGTGGTTTTCTCAACAGGCAGAGACCTCCTCCTCCTCCTCCTCATGCAAGGGGGGAGCACTCACCTTAAATTTATGGACACCACAGTTCTGGAGGGGGCACTCCTTTCTGGGCCAGCCCAGCCCTCCAGAGGCATCCTCTTGTCGTCACAATGTGGAGGAGGGCTACATAGGGCTCTTTTTCTCCCCACCCAACCCTCACCTGCCTTTCTGCACAGACCCTCACTCTCTTTGCTATGACATCACCATCATTCCTAAGTTCAGACCTGGACCACGGTGGTGTGCGGTTCAAGGCCAGGTGGATAAAAAGACTTTTCTTCACTATGACTGTGGCAACAAGACAGTCACACCCGTCAGTACCCTGGGGAAGAAACTAAATGTCACAAAAGCCTGGAAAGCACAGAACCCAGTACTGAGAGAGGTAGTGGACATGCTCACAGAGCAACTGCTTGACATTGAGCTGGAGAATTACACACCCAGGGGTAAGTTTCAGATGGCCCAGGACAGGAGGGAGCAGATACAGTGGTAGGTTAGAGGCATTTATAGTTTTTATGTAAAAGTACAAATGGGAAGGTCATCTTACCCTGCACGAGGTGTAGAGGCAAGGCCAGGATGTGGCAGAGAGTAAGGCCAGGAAATTGTAAGGGGAACAGGATGGGGCCTCAAAATGTGTCAAGACCAGACTTGATCTCTCTCTTTTGATGGGGGCAGAACCTCTCACCCTGCAGACCAGGATGTCTTGTGAGCAGAAAGCCGAAGGACACAGCAGTGGATCTTGGCAGTTCAGTTTCGATGGACAGGTCTTCCTCCTCTTTGACTCAGAGAACAGAATGTGGACAACGGTTCATCCTGGAGCCAGAAAGATTAAAGAAAAGTGGCAGAATGACAAGGATGTGACCATGTCCTTCCGTTACATCTCAATGGGAGACTGCACAAGATGGCTTGGGGACTTCTTGGCAGGCATGGGCAGAACCCTGGAGCCAAGTGCAGGAGGTAACAGCAGAAAGAAACGGGGATCGGGAATGAGATCAGAAATGGTGATCTCGAGAAACTAGTTCTTGAGTTCAGCTTCAGTCATCCCAGTGTACATATTTATGTTAAAATGACCCCCTTGTGGGGGGCTCCTCCTCGGGGTACTGGCGTGCCTGTGTTCTCCCATCCTCCTCTCCCTTCTCCCTCCTGACTCCTCTTCCTCACTGCACTTGCTTCTGCTGTCCGCACTGTGGATTTCTCACCAGCCTCAAAACTACGGGTGTCACTGTTTTAAGACATTTTTCCTTAGTGTTCCCTCTTTTGAGAATCACTTTTCCTTTCTTCTCCCTGGTCTGGTTCTGGACATCCATCAAAGCCACCTCAAATGCCAGCCCCAAGACCCTCCCCTCCCCAGCCCTGGGGCATCACCTTCTCTTCCACCACAGCAGGAGGGTGGGCTGTGCTGTCAGCTTGCTTCCCTCAGCAGCTGTGTGAGCTCCCTGAGGACAGGGACACCCCCTCCCTTCCTACCCCAGGAACTGTCCCAGGGGCTACCCCATAGCAGGAGGGCACAAAACCTCTGCCTTCCAGGATGACCTGGGTCAGCAGGAGCTGAGGAGGCGTCTCCTCAGATTTGGGGCCTGGACAAGGGTTGTCACTCTTGTGTTTCCATTTCAGCACCACCCACTGTGTCCTCAGGCACAACCCAACCCAGCGCCATGGCCACCACCCTCATTCTTTGCTGCCTCCTCATCATGTGCCTCCTCGTGTGTCCCAGGCACAGCCCAACCCACAGCCATGGCCACCACCCTCAGTCCCTGGAGCCTCCTCCTCATCTTCCCCTGCTTCATCCTCCCTGGCTGCTGAGGAGAGTCCTTTAGAGTGACAGGTATGGGGGCAGAATTGGGAGGGAAGCAAGGAGCAGGTGGGTGAGGAGGGAGGACGAGGATGGAGAATTCCCAGAGTGCCACCCCTCCCCATGGCCAGGATCTTCTCATCCTGACATGAGACAGGTGAATGAGACCTTGTGTTGCTAGTTGGCAATGACCTGGGAAGCTCAGCCGTGAGTTATAATGGATTCTCACCTTCAGAGGCCAGAGGGAAATGGAGGGGCCCATACCAAGGCTCAGGGTCTATTGAGCTTGAGAGGGTTTAGCAAGTTCAGTTCTGATTCAGAGCAGGTTCCTATTGAGGATGGGTGAGTGTATGGCTTGCCAGCAGCAGGAATTCAGATATGAGCAGTCAGTCCTCTTAATTGGGTCATGTGCATCGTGTAGCTTTACATGAGGTGTGAAAAGGGAAGTGAGATTCCATCTCTGAGGTTGAGAGAGAGATATGGGTCTTATCCCAGGAGGAGGGGGCTGGGAGGGCCTTGGTACACCTAATTCAAAATGAGGAAGTGCAGGACTGCCTTCCCACAGGAAGTGGCTTGGGTTCAGGAATTAAGGTGGAAGGCAAAGAGTAGAGGCTTCTCTTGATTAAAAACCTTCTCAGTCAGTCCCATGGAGCCATGGGGTTCAAGTCTGGGCCGTGAAGCAGCTCCCCTGCCATCCACCTTTTGCACACCCCAGATCCTGAGCTGGCTGATGGCCATGCCTGGAGCAGAGTGGACTCAGACAAGGGGGAGCTGAGCTGCTGCTGGAGTTCCATGGGCACCGCTGGGCTGGACCAGGAATGGATAAGGTGGAACAGGGACTGTCACCTTCATAGCTATGGGTGCTTCTCCCAGTTTGAGGAGAGGCTGAGTAAGAAGGGGAAGGAAGGATGTTTGCCTGCAGGCCCACCCAAGGCCAAGGGCACAGGAATACAGAGCCCTCTCTTTAGATGGGCTCCCCCTAACCCTTGCCACATTTTAGGCCCTCTTGTCAGACGGTAGAGAGGGCTTTGAGTGCAGGAGCAGGCCTATCACTGCCAGCTTCAGTCCTGCAGGACCCTCCACTCCATCCCCTAGTCAGGTGCAGGGCCTGGGCTGCCTCTGTGATGTGACAAAGGAGGAAGGAGGTTGGTCCAACCTGCAGGCACCAGGGTTGGGGCTCAAAGGAAAAACAAGTCCTTTAGTGCAGGGGGCTCTGACAGGTGGAGTGACTAGGGAAAGTTTGCCCTGGAAAAGTGATCCAGGTTCTCCTCCACCTCTTTAATCAACATTTGTGTCCTTTCTGAATGTCAAAGATAATACCAAAAAGCCCCTGTGGCACAGTCTTGATCAATCTTACCCTTCTGGCTGGCCACCTGCTCACCACATACTGTGTATGTCCAGAGGCCTCCAGCAGATCATGATGACACCATGGACCCAATAGCTCCTTCACTGCCTTGATTCCTTTTGCCAGCAATTTTACCAGCGGTTATTCCTATCATTTTATGCTATTTTCTCTTGGTGCTACCTGATGGAATTCCTGAACTTAACATCTGGCTGACTAAACAAGATATGTCAGCATTTTCTTTCTTCTGCTTTTGTTTGGAAAATCAAGTACTTCTTTGAGTGATGACCTCTTTCTTACAAATGATATTGTCAGTGAAACAATCATGTTATAGTTCAGACCTCCAGGGTTTCTTTCCATGTCCTGAAAGATAATTATTTAATTATTTAATAAGCAAAAATTATATTAATGATTGTTTTCTCTAGTAATTTATTGCTCTGTACTGTATTTAAATGAAGGGTTCTATTTCCCAAAAAACTACTGAGTTTAGAATTTTGTTGTATCACCCAGTAAAGCCTTAATGTTATTTCATTTTTCCTCCATGATATGGAGTAACAAATGAGTGATTCTGCTAGATTTTGTGTGGAAACAGGGAATCTACAAAACATGGCTGAATAAAATCAGAGACAGCACAAATATATGGAAAAATATTTCATGCTCATGAGTTGGAAGAATCCATATAGCTAAAATGGCCATACTTCCAAAAGCAATTTATAGATGCAACACTATCCCTATCAATACCAATGTCATTTTTCACAAAATTAGAAAAATCTAATCTAAAGGTTATTTGGAATTAGAAGAAGAGCCCAAATAGCCAAAACAATCACAAGCAAAAAGAACAAAGCCAGAGGCATGACATTGCCTGACTTCAAACTATAATATAAGGTTATGGTGATCAAAACAGAGTGGTACTGGTACAAAAATAGACACTTAGATCAGTGAAACAGAATAGAGAGTGTCTATTCACCCAAGCCTCCTTGCACCTGCCTCTCTCTTGAGTTCCCCTGCAGTCCCTTTACGTGAGTGTGTACTTTTCCTTTTACAATAAATCTCTGTCCTTTCTCTGTTTTCCCACTGGTCTTTAAATTCATTTTCCCAGGCGGTGTCTAGAGCCCGACAGCGGCTGGGGTCGCCGTCCCACTGGCGTTTGGGGCCCTCCCTTTGCCCACTGGTATCAGAAGAAGAATGCAGGCCGGGCGCGGTGGCTCACGCCTGTAATCCCAGCACTTTGGGAGGCCGAGGCGGGCGGATCGCCTGGGGTCGGGAGTTTGAGGCCAGCCGGACCAACATAGAGAAACTCCGTCTTTACTAGAAAGACAAAAAATTAACCAGGCATGGTGGCACACGCCTGTAGTCCCAGCTACTCTGCAGGCTGAGGCAGGAGAATCGCTTGAACCCGGGAGATGGAGTTTGCGGTGAACAGAGATCGCTCTACTGCACTCTAGCCAGGGCAACAAGAGCGAGACTCCGTCTCAAAAAAAAAAGAAAAAAAAAGACGAAGAAGAAGAATGCAAATGGCAGTGACCCCAGGAAAAGGTGCTCAGTATCCGCAGTCCTCAGGGACATGCCAATTGCACCCACAAGGGGACGCCTCACCCCGCTGGAATAGCTGACCCCAAACACATTGAGGGTGGAGCGGGTGGGGCCTGTATTCTTTACAGGGCAGAGAGCAGGAGATGGAGAGTCGGTGGAGTGCGGGTGCTGTATATGTGTCACCCTCTCCCCATTTTCGTGGCAGGGGTTTCTCCCCGTTCTCTGAGCCTACCTGCTTCCTTCCTCTCCCTTTCTCCTGCCCTCCCTCGAATCCTTCTGTCCACCCATCCCAAGTTTTCTCCGCCTCACGATGTCCATGCTTGGGGCCCCCAGCCCAGAGGAGAAACCAGGAGTCCTGGACCGCGAGCAGCGGGGTCAAGGAGGCAACAACGGGAAGCCCCGCTCGTCTCGGGGGCCCTCTCGCAGCAGCCCCAAGGCAAGGGGGATGGGGAGTACTTTTGGGGGCTACACTGTTGGAGCCCCACTAATCCGAGCGGGAAGGTGACGTCTCCACACGGAGCCGGTGGCAAAGTCCCCGCGAGGATGAAGGGGAAACCTCCTGCTCCTCACCACACCAAAACCCCACATTTCCAGGATCCTTCCATCACGGGAACCGCCTGTCCCTTGCCGCGACAGCCGAGTCCTCCCAGGTAAGGCCGTTTTGTCCGGAGGCTGTGGACCCGGAGGCCCTGGCGCATTGGCCGGCAGCGGGGCACCCACTCCGCGGTCTCCACCGGGCAGGACCCGGGTCCAGAGCTCTGGCGTAGCGGGCGACCTGGGAGGAGGGAGCAGAGCCCAGAGGACGTGACTGGGTGGAAACTGAAACCGCCAGGTGCGAACTTTCCCCAAAATCATCTGTGGTTGAAATCAGCAATCACCTGTAATATTTCCCCTGTGACAATACCGTTGGGTAAATATCTATAACCAGTGTCTCGTCACTGCAGCAGTCCCGCATGCGCTTACCTGGGTTCCGAGTCCCTGGAACCTCGTGGCCCACAACAGATCTGGCAAGCCCACCCAGTGACTGTCCCCAGGACTCTGGGCCCCATTTTTCCTTACTTCTTTACCTCCATATAGTCACCTGTTGCAGGATGGAAACCATGAAAAGTCATGTGCAAAAGACTCCCCCACCCCTGCCTGCATCCACTCTCACTGGCCACATGCCCAGGACAAAACTTTATTGGATTCTTCTCATCTTTCCAGGGAGTCTTTATGCCATTTCAAACGCATATTAATACATATTCTTAATTCAGACTTGGATATTTTTGACCCTTGATGAGCCCTGTCACCCTGTTCTCCAGGAAGCTTGTACTAGTTACGCCTCTCTCTACAGTGGATGTTTCACCATCCTCTGCCCAAGCTGGGTCTTCACAATCACAGACAAGAGTGTCGCCAGCATTGCCATTCCGTGACATGAGACGCTTTAAAGGTGCATTACTTTGCACAGCAATTCTGTGTCTGGAAATCTATTCGATACAATTGAATTGAGACTCATGCAAGCACAGTTTCTGCAGCATTTCGTTTCTGTAAAAGTAAGGGACTGGAGACCATCTGGATCTTCATACATAGACACTGGTTACATTTGTTGTGATGCAGTCTTTCTATGCAATATCATGCAGAGATAAAAAGGAAAACAATCTGTATGTGCAGATCTTGGAAGATCTTCAAAGTGTGTTATTTTGAGATAGAATCTGCATGCAGCAGAGTGCCTATGGGCTTATGTTTATTTCAAAAACCAGCACTGATAGGTGTACACATCTCTATTTTTAGTAACGAAAACCGTATTTC